GAAAGGGGAAAATAAGTCCCCGGCTGTGGACTCAAACCTGTAATCCTGGCTGAGTAAGACGGCTATGTTCTAGCGATTAGTGCCACTGCGCCGTTAAGGTAGAGTAGACCCTCCCAGATCGTTGGCTGAATTCTTGAAAATATCTGTATAGTGTTCCTTTAGGCTGCGGAGTTTCTGCTAGTTATGCGATACGGGAACTATATTCGGCTGGAACAACTTTTATATATTACTCGCAAAATTGGCCGCTCCGGCGGCAATTATTCGCGCTCGTTAGCTGATGAACGTGAGCGGGTGATTTCTTAGAATTCCCAGGCGGCCGCATGGATTCCGAGGTAATCGTTTTCTAGTTTATTTTAGAAAACAAATTAATTGACTTGAATACCGAGTACATATAGTACAGCGGACATCGATTCCTTTACTAACATACAATATTTCTGTCGCCGGCTATAGTTTCATTTCATTAGTACAACAACATCTGGTTCGCTACACATGACCTTCTTATATCCAGGTGGTTTTCTCTTCAAATTAAGGCTAATATTAATTATACGAATCCGCTTAATACGATTTTTTTTTTGGCCCGTCGTTTCCGTACTAACGGGGTGCGAGCTTGAGTTAATTGAATGTGTAGTAATGAATGAGGGAGTTTAGGGGCTTTGCAGTAATTTCGTATCTATTTGTGAACAAATTTACTGTGCGTCTACTAAAGTTTTTACATATTAATATAAACACGAGTGTTAATTCAATACGACTCCTGATGTTATCACTACAGGCAGTGTATTGATACATCTCTGATATAAACCTATTATAAAATACCTTTGCCACAACGCCTAATGTAATGATATATATATATATATATATATATATATATATATATATATATATAAACACATATAGCACTAAAATCAAAGTTAAATATGTAGTTATGAATTTATTGCATCGAGTGAGCTTTCGACACAACGTTTCTTCCTCAGATATTGTCAACATATTCAAATTTGATTTTAATGCTATGAATCCATTTGTGCCCGTGTGTTTTTCTCTAATTTATATATGGGAAAAAATAACTTATTGTGTGATTCTTATAATCGTACATGCACGATACCTTGAAATACAGAAAAATAAAAAAGTATATGAAAAAGCAAACGTTAATGAATTTGCTTGATGAAATCCGCGTCACACGTGTGTTCCTCAACAAGAAAGCAGAATTGCTGCATTTTATAACGTTGCATCGTAGACAAACTCACCATTTCCTGAACGACCACCATTCCCTCAACGATGAGAGCAATGACTATTCCTGGAGTCAGGAATCCGGTGATCAATAGCAACAACTGATACAGGAGAAACCACCACATGTTACTTTTTTGCGACAGCAATTGCCTCGAATCTACGTAGATAATAAAGAGATAAAAAAGGCATGCTATTACCAATAGAAATATAGGACAATTCAGTAAAATACCAATTAAAAATATATTAGCAACGTAAACTATTAGGTGATGAAGAAGCCAAAAAAACATTTACAATACAAAAAGTAACAAAAAAAATTAACAGTAAAATAATAAATGTTAAAGATATTAAAGTTAACACTAAAATCATATAGACGCCGTTAACGACGGTTTCGTACTTTTTAGTAAGAAGATGTTGTTACACAGTGTCGAAGGGTACCATCTCCGACGTTGACGATAGAACTCGGGCAGGGATTCGGGCGCATGCGTATTAGCCCGTGCATCTGCGCAGTAACTTGTCTGATAACCGCTTTTTAGTACCAATGTAGTCAGCCATCGGTCTTCTCCTGCACAAATGATGATTATTATTATTATTATTATTATTATTATTATTATTATTATTATTATTATTATTA